TGGCGCGCTCCGTCTTTAAAGACAGCTCCCGCGATAAAAGTGTCAAGGATAATTGCTGATCAATTATGAAACAGTAGCTGATAAGTAATTCCTCAATGAAGGAAAAAAGAAACAAGAGCCCTCAAGAACACCATAAACAAAATCGCGCCCTGACAGTCACACCTCCCTTGCGGTTCAGATGGAAAACTTTTTTTAAAGAAAAGGAAACCTTGAGAAAAAGGCCGCCCGCGTGCCGAGACACGGTACCGTGCGGGTTGAAATCACAGAGGACCCATCTGTCATCTCCACTGAGCAGTCTCCTCAGAAACACCTTTTGACGAGGGCGGAGAAGGGGAGACTGACCAAGGGGTACCCGGGTGCACAGCGTGCCATCGGTCAAGGTATGAGTGATCCATCGAGCCAGTACTTTTCGGTAGTCAAGGGCTTACAGGCGGTTGACGACTGTCAGTTAGGTACATCCGAGTCTTGTCGCAAGACTGCGGGTGGTAACCTCCGCATCCTTCGAGAATGGTGGAGTCTTCCACTTCGTGGGGCCGTCCCAACCGAGGTTTTCTTCGAGGGTCGTGTCTCCTTTCGCGAAGCGAGCGAACCAAAGATGGACAGTCATGATGGTAGTGGTGTCCTCCGCCAATGCACTGCTGATGTTGCGGACAGCTGCCGCTGCTCCAGTGCCGCGGGGCCACTGATAGAACATGATGACCCGAAGATGCTCCTGTGAAACTGACATCGTAATTAGACCCAGGAAAGTGCAGGCGCCCTCACACAACTCTTGCAGGAAAGCTCCTAGAATGTTCTACAAGCATGGCATGTTACGCCATGTTCGAGCATCAAGAACCGAAAAGTGTAGGCTTTTCAAAAAACACTGACAGGACTTTTCTTCCAACCTAATAGCATAAGTATTTACCATGTCCTTGTCTACATGAAATCCGATGCTCCAATCGAAAGGGTAGTGCAAACTTGAGGAAACGTCGCGCCCATTGCCGCGCGTGACGAAGCGGCAATTTACGTTTCTCTTGCCTGTTTCCCTGTGCGGCATGTCTGCTTTTACTCGGAACTTCTTAGCCTTGGACTGAGATTGGGAACGAGTGACTTAGCCTTGGACTGAGATTGGGAACGAGTGACTCATTCTTCAGCTTCATGAGACGCGTTGTTGTGAAAAGGATGATTAGGAGGAGAACGCCTTCATTAGTGTCTTTATGAAGCGCTCATTTGACGCGTAAAAATCGAAAACATCTAAAATCGTGGAGTCAGGAATGTAATCGCTTAACAGCTTTTATTAATTTTTTATTAGTGACTACAGGCTGAGAGGGGGCCCATAGAGCATCAGTGTCCGTCTGACATTTTGGACGAGAGGGCGCGATAGGCGTCCGAGTCGATATGTTGAAGCTCGGATAGGGCACTATAAAGGGTACGTTTCTTGGAAAAGGTGCCACGCAGGCGCGTGCTCAACGCACGCGGAATTTTGCCCTGCTGGCGTTTAATCCTACTCTTCTTGGTGATTCATTGTCCCACTTGCCTTTAATGAAGAATTTGCGGATATGAAAATGGACGCATGGAAAAATTTCTGGCCACCGAATACGAAACATAGTTTTAACGCCGTCCAGGGTTATTAAACCTTGACGTTTCGCGAACCAGTTGTTTTGCGAAAGAAGCGTCCGGAAGAAGGAACGGCAAAGCGGTCAGTTTTCCAATGCCACTGAGCAAAAAAGATGAAGCGCTAGCGATGATCGATGTCTCCTAAGATGCGCCGTGAGCTTGACTTCTTCTTCCAAT